TATATATATATATATACATATGTAATACATTATAACAGAATTGTGACATTAATTTACAAAATGCTGGTTCATTAGAACAAAGCCAAGACAGGTCACTTTGTAAAGGTCAATTTTACACTATTGGATACAGTAACATGAGTACATGTGACTGCATCATTGCAACTTCTGTAATGTTAGTCAGCTGAAAATTCATTAAAATAAAAATAATAAATATATATAGTTGTATAATGTTATGAGATTTAAACTATTTAGACTAAACATTTGTGGTTTTGTGTTATAATCTGTAGTCATTCTAGAACTAACAAAGCATAATTTATACCTATTTCCTAATTTTTTTTATGGTAGTTGCGAGATTGATCAAATCAGCCAAACCCATACAGAGATACAATAGTGAAAATAACAGATACAATATAAAGTGTTTTCTAAAACAAAAGTTTGATAATTACATGGAGGTTATAAAAATTTTGAATGTGAAATATGAAAATTTTTTAATGCATAAAAGTATTTTTAATCTTAAAATCAAAATTACTCTGCAGTTTGGATAGTCAACATTCAAAAAGAAAAAAATGCATGAGCAAATCATTACTTAAAAAAAATCTTAAAACTGATATTTTGTGTACGAGAGCCTTGTAATGTTTACTGATAATCTGCAAAATTTCGGGAAGGTACGCATACTGTATTAAAACTTATAGTATGAAAATTATAATAAGCACAAAATGGTTATAAGGTCAATCACTAGGACTGAACCCAAAGTGAGGGAGTTAAGTGAAAAGAACAGCTTTTACTTATAGTAATGTTTTATTTAGGCACTGCTTTTAAACTTTAGCTACTGGTGATAGATAAATGCTAATATTTACAATTTCAAACAAGCTGCAAGTACTAAAGTATAACATTCTAGAATATTTATAATTATTCACCCTCTATTTTTGGACTTTCTTCTTTACATTTGTACAGATGTTCTAGAGTGACACTTTTCCAGTATGAGTAATAGCTTAACCGACCCAAGTCTGATAAAGGTTTCTCTGGTGTTCCAACAAGTCCTTCTTTCCTTGTTAAAAGATAGCCTAAAAAATAAATAATCGAACTGTTAAACATTTCTAACACCTTGTGTAAAAATCCTTACTTTGTCATACATAATTCTGCTAAAGTTAACTTTATTGGTCCAATAATATGTATCTGTCTTTTCATAAAATATTGGGTTGTAACTGCATTTATTCATTACAAAAATAATGTTCACACTGAAAATACGCATTCAGTGGTATGCACTTATATTCTAATATTAATAATACAAAGTTCTAAATGGATTATTTTTCAAACTGTGCATATGAAGTACTGACATTTGTGAAATTAAAAAAAACAAAAAGATTAACAATCAGAATTAATCTTTTCCACAAAATAAGGCAAACTTGTGATATTAACATAATAATGAACCACAAATTTTATATCAGGAATTAGGTAAACAAACATTTGTCTTTAAAAAGGAAATGAATTGATAAATGCTAATAATAAACACACAATATTTTTTTTATAACTCTAGTTTTTTTCTCATTTATCTGTATGCTTAAAATGTTTTTTTTTTATGCGAAACTAATTTGACTTTGTTAGAATTTTCACTGGGCATCCACATAGCTTATCAGGTTATGTATGATGTGGTCAAACTTACTAAAATCAATCAGAAATCGCCCATATCCCTTTCTTTGGTACTGTGGCATTGTCATAATACAAGAGACATTATACTTCTGTTGACAATGTTTTTCCTAAAAGAAAAGAAAAAAAGACAAATATTTTCAACATATCTCGGTGTGTGCGTTTGCATGCATGGAGGGATTCTTAATTCCATGTTAACCTTGTATGGAATTCAAATAAATGTTGGTTAGTATGCATGTTAACTTGTACTAGAGACCACTTTTTTCATACCAATTACAACCTCAACATAGAAAATCTCCACCATTAAAGGTAGTTTAATGGAACAGACACTTTTTTTTTCAATTTGATTTTTCACATCTTTTACAAACCAATGGTAGAGCACATGGTTTTCAAAACAGTGAGCTTGTTCATACATGTTTTGTAATAATAATAATATCCTATTAACTAGTATTTTGTTCATAAATAACAAAACTGTGGTGTAAGAAAATGAAGCATGGTAAGAAGATATACAATAAAGAAATTACTGGTAGACCTTTATCACTTGAAGTATTTGTAGTTGAATTTAGTTAGGAGTAAGAAAAATGCTAGAAATGATTTTGTCTGATTGCACTTGTACATGTCTACCTACCCAACAGTTAAAATAGTTTACAAAACAAACATTTCCTTAATTCTCAAGAATACAAGTTTTCAACTCCAATAGTAAAATGTTACCATATACACATAGCTGATTAAAAATAGCTTTATGGCCTTTACCTAATCCTATTACTAATCTCAGTTTTTAGTTTATACCAAAATAAAAATACTTGTAAACATACACTAACTAATTGTAGCAGTAGCCACAATAAATGTGCTACCTTCATAATGAAAAACCATTTCCCATTCTAATAAGTACAATATTTTATCATAACAAATTTTTTATTAATATTACTACTTGTAAATTATTCCAGTAACACAACTGAAGGCAGAAGCAAGTAATAAATGAGTCATCTACAGATCTACACAGAAAGACATTACAACTACAATGGCTAAATCTTCCATCTCGTAACACAAAAAAAAACATTAATAATAATATGAAAATATCACAAATAAAACTGAAAGCAAACCACTTTAGAAATAATTGCCAGTTTAAAATTCTGTAAACCTGGTTCCATGTTTATACAGATCACAAAATTTAAACTAATACTTTTATGAATATAAATGTACAAGATCATTTCTCATTTGTATAATACACTGTGATGTTCATCACCACCATTGGTGAAAGCTAAAATCTAAATGTCATGCTGTCAGAGAACTTTGTTCTAATACGGATGTGTAGGAAGACAAAAGGTATGCCACTTATAATTGTTTTTCACTATAAATTACCTCCAAATAAACCAAGTGCTTTTCTACAGCTCAGATTTTACAATAAACTCATACATGCCTCAGAAAAAATCTCGACTGAACAAGCTTAAAATTTTTATTGTGATACCTAAATAAAAACCTATTTGAAATACAATGAGAATATTTTGGTGGTGCAGATAAAAAGACAATTAATACCAATAGAGAATTGAATGATGCATCACAGTATCAAATAAGTTTTCCAAATATCAGGTGTGTGTGTGTGTGTGTGTGTGTGTGTGTGTGTGTGTGTGTGTATATATATATATACACACACTAACTTAAAGTAATAAA